CAAAATGAGGTGCCGAAATCGCTTGCAATCCCGCTGGCTTTTGTGCGTTTAGCGGCATCTGGCGGCGAGCCACTGGCTTGCAAGCCGCAAAGTCACTAGAAGCTCGACTGCATCATGCATCTGCAAAGCTCCGACGTTAACTGTGATTGCTGCCGAGAGGCTGTTTTCCAGTGGAGTCATATAGGTATACGCCGTCACCGCGCACCACGAAGGGAAGCTTCTGCGACACGGGCCCTCTCTTCAGGTCAGCCTTTTTGGGCCTCCCCGAACACCTTTCCCTGTCTGGCCTGATTAGCCTTTTCTAACCCTTCCTTCAGAAAATGCTGGCTGATGGGCAAACAGGGCTCCTCCACAGCACGGCTCGACGTCCAACAAAGCATTGCCTGAAAATGTGGCTCCAATTTTGCAACAATGATAAAACTACTCGTGATACACTACTCAGTACTCACTACTACGTAACAACAACAACAACAACAACAAAAACAAAAGAATGCAAAGGTTTCAACATGAGACCAAAACGCTCCATATTCCCAATGCCAACCTGAGGCCTCTGCCCTTCTCACCTAAGCTTCCTGTCAGCAAAGTGGATCAAAGTGGCATGATCATGGGCGGCCCTGCGCAGCTCGGCCTCTGACCTTCGGCAGGCACAACATACCCACAAGCTCTTGCCAGTCCCACCAGTCAGCCGAAGCGACCACTCAGTCCTCCAATGTGAAGTCTTCGCAGTCGGGGCGCTCGAATAATGTGCCTTGCCCACTGCTCACTTGAGCGCTCACTTAAAGATGTATACTCTGTATCAGCCGATGAGCGCAAACACTTTAGTTTGCGTCAATGTGAATACATGGAGCCCGAAAGGTGTACAAATGTAAACAGCCCCCACCATGAAAATAAACAGTCCTGTAGCAGATCCTGAAGTGTTTTCGGACCCTTGTAGGCTTATGGCTGCTCAACTGCTCAACCTGTTTGGACCGTTGGATGGGCCCCAAGCCCAGGAGCTTGTGCAGTGGGAGATACGGGAGACCCAACCAAGCTTGAAGTATTTCCATCCTACAAAGTCTAGTATCTCGTATGGGAGGAGAACATCCAAAGTCTTGCAGCCAAGCCAGGCTGTCTGGGAGGGCTCAATACATCACTGCCAGGCTGGCTAAATGATCCTAGAGGAGCCATGATTGATTCACAGTGCTTGGCCAGGTCGGCCAGGTGTTCTGATTGCAAGCTGCCCAACACACTCAAGCAAAGGTTTGCACACGCATTTTGCAGCCAAAACACCACTGCTGCAAATGCCAAGAAAACCCATTGACCAAGTGTGCTTGTTGCATGCGCTAATGGGGGGGAAGTTCACGCGCAGGCACACTGTCTGTTGGCATGGCGAGCGGGCCCCTTGTGAGGAAGTCTTCTGAAACGGCTCAAAAGCACTGGAGCTGTCAATTGCTCGTGAATTTTATGCGGCAGGTGTAGTTTCTGCGACTCCGTCTACAGCTTCGAAAATGCCGAACGTCAAACACAACGGTTGAGAGAACACTGAGAAATCTTTGCTGCTCAAAGAGCTTCACAAAATGCAGCTTGCATTGGAAAATGCGCTCCTCAACTGCAGGCCTCAAACCTCCAGCGTTTCATTCAGGATACTTTTACAGCTGCTGAAGCTCGGAAGGCCCACATTTTGATTCATGCAAAAGCTCGTGTCGTATCCTGAGCCCAGCGCCTGCATGGGCAGGCTTGGGATGTGCTCAACGCTCGATAGCCCTGGAATCATATCTGCCTGCGGCCCGTGGCATTCAACGCAACTCTCAGAATGCTCAGAATGGTGGTGAGTCCAGAGGATGCATGTAGGATGTATGCGCAGGACGGACAACGAATACGGCCTACTTCATTTCGACTTTGAGTTTGACTGAATGCCGCTGGGTGCTGATGAGCCAGCCCCTCAAAGGACTGACATGCTTGATGAACTGCAGACACTGCCAACTGTGTGAAGCATCTGCTACTCGCAGCAATATCCAACTCAAGGAGAAGTGCAAGCATCCTGGACGAATGAGCATGCAAGTAGCCATTCAACAGAATCAGAGCACGATCCACTGTCTCTCCTTGGGCAGCCCCGCCAGCAAGCTGCTTGAAACGCCTCTTGCCGTTTTCTGCAGGATCACCTGCCACTGACTGCAAAACGAGTCACGGTCAACATGCTCCCAGAATCAAGTGTTTCAATTCAAGACAGCTGAGCTGCAGCACCTTACATTTGGCCGAAAACACGCGTATTGCTGTCCTTACTCGTGGACCTTCTGACCTCCTCCCACAACACCGTGATCAATCTTTGCTGGCCAAATGACCCAAACACTTGTTTCACCGCTTGCTGAAGTCCGAACCTTGCCGTTGCTCATCGTGCTGTGCTCGGCTTCAAAGCAACTAAAATGCCGCAAACAAGGACAAATGCCTTGAGCCGAGCGGCAGACGTCAACCCTAGCCCTGGTCACACCATGGAAACTGAACGACTTGGCAATTTAGGAAAAGCAGGGGGGTGCTCCACGTGTGAGTGAGCATCTAACGAAGAGGCTCACACTTTGTGCTGATATGGAAGCTGGACGCGGCATCCACGTACCTGCAGAGGAAGCCCCCTGAGGTGCCTGAAGATTAGAAAGACGGCCCCTGTGCGGGAGATTAGATGGCCTTTGCAGCCTTTACAGTTTGCTACACGAACAAGCAGTTTTACAAGTATTGCAGGAAGTGTTGTGAGCTTTGCAATCAGTGCATGCGTGAATGTGCTGGAACATGACAGTTGCAATCACTGCACGAGTTTTGGACATGTCGCTTGACTAGTTGCAACCAGGTTTTCATTAAATTAAATTGGGCTTCAGCACGAACCAAAACTTTTCACTCCTTATCAAAGTGTGAATCAGCGGCTTTCCGACAAGGCGCCGGGGTGACCCTGCAGGGGCAGTTGGCACTTAGCCTCCTAGTTCAGGCAATTTTTGAAACCTTGGCTTTTCAACAATCCGGAATATGCACTTCGCATCGGACTGAGCGGGGTGTTCACTCGATCAGGCTTCTGTCATTACTTCTGATTCTGCCATTGCCGTGCTGACAGTTCTCACCCGTTTACAGGACAGTTGAAGTCTCAGGTCCTGTTTGTGTCGTAAAGGGCTAATGCATTGCTTTCTGCCGCTGGCCAGTTAGTCTCCGTGCTTCTCGCCTTCCTTTCCCTTCGGACCCTCAGGGAATGCAACAGTGCGGCATGTGCACCTGACATGAGGTCTAATGCACTCGGGTAATGCTCTAGATGTGTAATGCACTACGTTGAAGCTCAATCTGGATTGTTCGTAGTGTGGGGTTTTTTCCCCCTCCCTAGTCCCTAAACCCTAAATGGAGGCCTTCGCGGCCCATAAGGCCCGCAAAGGGATCGAGGCCTTATACACCGTCGCACATCGTCCGTGGGTCTCTGCGGGGGAGCTGGGAAGTGTGTACTAGTTAACACTCACTTCCTTCCCTCTCCCTCAGATCAACTGTTGCCTCTGGGGGCCGGCGCGCCTAGCTGAGGGACAGTCCCTAACCCTAACCTAACCCATTCCTTGCGCATCGCTCTTGGGTGCCTTCGCGCGCAGCTAGAGGATGTTCCCGCTACTGGCCTTGGGCTCCTGCGGGGGCAGCCGGGCAGTAGTCACACCGTCCTTGGGTCTTTTCTGTGGCAGCTGGGAGGTGTGTACTAACCCTAATCCCTAAAACCCCATTGGCTACATCCGGGACACCGTCTTCAAGCACAATCAATTTTGGGCACTGCAGCCCACAAAGTTTTGTGGTTTAGAGGGTATCTTGGGTAGTCTTAACAGGCTGTTGTGCAGCCAAGACTTGGCGCCCCTGGGGCTGTGTGTGTGTGTGTGAACCATCCTAGTGCATGGATGCAAGGGGGTCACTCCCAACATGGAGGGTTTAGGGTTTAGGAAAGACAGGGGGGGTGCTCCACAGAGTGTGAGTGAGCATCTAACGAAGAGGCTCACACTTTGTGCTGATATGGAAGCTGGACGCGGCATCCACGTACCTGCAGAGGCAGCCCCCTGAGGTGCCTGAAGATTAGAAAGACGGCCCCTGTGCGGGAGATTAGATGGCCTTTGCAGCCTTTACAGTTTGCTACACGAACAAGCAGTTTTACAAGTATTGCAGGAAGTGTTGTGAGCTTTGCAATCAGTGCATGCGTGAATGTGAGTGATGAAACATGACATGTCGCTTGACTAGTTGCACCCAGGTTTTCATTAAATCAAATTGAGCTTCAGCATGAAGCAAAACTTTTCACTCATTATCAAAGTGTGTGCGGGTGTGTGTGTGTGTGCGTCTCTGAGGCATGGTAGCTCAGGATTCATGTTATATGTACATATCAATAAATATGTATATATACACTGTATGATGCCGTTTTGGGCATGCTTGTTTCATTTTCCGAGTCCTTCATATCTCTGATCATCTTTGTGCGCACTTCTTTGTAAACATCCCGATTCGAGTTTCTAGTGCATAAACTTCCGAATTTTATAAATAAACAAATAAATAAATGCATGTATATATTATATGTATATATAAGGGGGCAACCTTCCTTGACGGCATTTGCGTTTCTTCTTAAAGGGGGGGAACTCGGTATTTGTTTTAATGATTAATGGAAGGGGGGGGGGGTAACGTCAGATCATACAAAGGGGGATGCCCCCATCCACTTCATACAGGCTATCTATCTGAACCGAGATTATATGGGTACCAACGGTTGGGCTTGGGTTCAGATCTATTTAGCCTGAAGGGCGAGGCTTCTGGGACAACGCTCCAAGCGCCCTGCTTTTTCTGCCGTCGCCAGCAAATGCTGTAGGGTGAGACACCTGTAGTGGCCACGTGGCCACCATCAAATGTATCGCTTGCAAGGGGGAGGAAGTATCCTCTGCCAGCCACTTCGCCGCAGCGCGAGAAAAAACCCTTCTAAGAAGGGTGATATCTTAAATTTGATTATACAATTATGCCCAACAATACTGTGGGTCTGTCGGCTACGACCGCTCGTCTATCAGCTCATCTTCTGCCTCACCAATGTACATCCTCAGAAAGCTTGCTGATGATAACTGGCTCCACCCCCTGCTAAAGGCCTAATCTTCGAAGGCTTCCTTGGGATGCCGAAGCGATTTGGTGACAGTGGCTGGTTTCAGGCAGCGTAACATGAAACCGCACAAGAGCTTCATAGAGACGGTAAGTCGGTCTCAGAGCATTTACTACGGCAACCAGCTGCATTTGAAGGTGGACAAGAAAACGCAGCCAATGCACAGTCCACTCCACAATGTAACCTATCGCGAGATTATCGTGTGGGCGCAGCAATGCAACGAATCCCGGGCCACAATGATGCCACTATGATGCCCGCTGCTTCCGAAGTAAAGCCTACCGCGATGCGAACTACATGCACATCTTGGAGTTGCAATAAGTTGCACAAGTAGTCAGACATGCAATTTTTCGCGCGGAATTGTTTTCTGAGTCCCTGACGTCATGTGGGGTTGATTTTGGGTGGCTGGATTGAGAAAGCTGGGGGCCCAGACTTGGGAGGCCGTACAGCACAAGGCCTTTCAATGCATTCTTGCAGAATGGAGAAGACGTCAGTGGGCGGTCCGATGCAACCTGTGGGCTTGTCAGCCATGCTGGCAAGAAATGGTCTCCTTCCATCTCGCGTGCGCAAGACTTGCGTTCGCCATCGTGTCACACGTTGGTACGCATGCGCCCCGTCAGCCACGCTCATCTTGTCCAAGGCACGCATACCATTTAATTACTGATATCACCTACAATCTAACAATGAATACTGAAACAAGGGTACACAATGGTACACATGTGTTCTCACTACATGCCTCCATCTGAGCCAACAAATCCTGTCGAAGAATCTGCAGTACTCGATGCGGTTCCTTCGTGATTCGAGTACGAACCAAATAAACTACCACAAATGTTCTTGGAACTTGCATCAACTGAAAGTATTCAGAGCGCACCGACATCTTGACACAGCATAGCTTCTCAAGAATCGGTACGCGGGGATACGGACGAAATCGCGCAGGAGCGTGTAAGGAGCGCCATGGACTATGTAGGAGCCAAGTGTGAGCAATTGCAAATGCAAAACAAGACGTCAATCACCCCATTTATCCAAAGAACCGGCCTATTTTTCTGACACTTTGGCCTCCACCCCAGCCCCAAACGTTCAGACTATACTCTTGATGCCACCTCACCACAAACTGGTGAGGGGGGCGCCGCTGCCGGCACCAGCTGTCCCAGCTGCGTTTCTAGCTTAAGGCTTACGTCTGCAAGGAGATTGTAGTTGAACCCTGCAACAACAGCCCCAGGCCCTACGCTCAATTGTCAGTCCGAGGGGCATCTCGCCACTGCCAGCCCCTACGTTCATGCGAATATCTTTCAGATCCTTGGCTACCCCACGCCACGGCTGTCCCCAACTGTTTGAAATGTATGCTTGCCTTTGACTGGTTCTTTGCAATGCCTCTTCAACAAATCCAGATTTGGCCAGCCGTGTCTCTCTCTCTCTGTCCATTGCTGCAAATTGCACAGGGCTGTCTTTAACACATGCTTGCTTCAATTTCGAGTTTGCCGTCCTCAACCCGCAAAGCGAAAGGGGCACTGTTCCAACATATGCAGTATACGTCTGTCTCAATTGTGTCTATAAACTATTAACACACATGGCTCTTTCGTATTTTTCACGGCCTTCTTCCATCCGACTTGTTTGTCTGATTCGTGCTCTCAGCAACCCAGTGCTCTGTTTCGTCTCAGTCGTACGCCCCCATTTTTGTGTTCCCTGGCTTTATATAAGAACACGTCAATGAAATTCGTGCTAGAATGGGCCGACAGCAGATTCGCACCGTGCGCTGGGAACCACTCCCCGGCAAAAACCCACACTAGCTCATTTCTTTTCTCATGATACTATACGCTGCCTTACACTGCGGGGCAAAGTCAAGCAAGCATACGCCGCTAGAGCTGCATGAGCTTGCTTTTTGCGCATCTGTAGCCGTCTCTCTGACCTTTTTCCTGCTGTGGCTGCAATATAAATAAGCTAATGACGTTGAATTCAGTGGCCCCTGAAAGCTGACAGTGGAGGACACTACCAACGTTCTGAGCGGGCGTAAACGCGCGCCGAAACAATGAAGTATTCGGGTTGCCTCAGCTATAGTGAAATCTGGGTCGGCTTTTTGAACTCCAACTAGGAATCTTGGCGGCGTGGCAATTCGTGCAAAACGCTCGTAAAGCTATGTGTTACCCTCTTCGGGGAGCAAAATGTTCATGGCAGTGTGGCCCAGTTTTGCTCCCTCCCTGCTCACGCAAATCCCGGAGGGTCGGAGAAGAAAGCTTCGACCGCTTGGATTCATGGAATGCAGCTTAAATTAACGGGAACAATCCTAGGAGTAACGGGGCGAAGCTTCGACCCATAAAGCGCAGCTTAGACGAATGGGTCGATCCCTAGACCAATGAGGCGAAGCTTGGACCAATCGGGCGACTATGAAAATATGTAAAATTCTGAGCTCCTCACCTGTTTGGAGTAACGTTTAATAGGGCGCTGAAAGTCCACAAGCTGTCATTTTGTCATTGCCACCTGGGCCACAATGCAGCAACAGTACACACCCGCCCAAATACTGCACCGGCCGAAGAAAAGAAAGCTCTGACAGGGAAAATGCCTGAAAGTGTGGCACGCCGAGTGATTTTCAGGGTCGGCGTCGTCGAAAATTTTACGTGTGTATACACTCTCCGGCCCCCACCAAGTCAGGCTTTGAGCCTTTGGGATCTAGAATTTGGGGCTTTATCAGGAACTCAGACTTTATGACAAAGGCGTGAGTCAAAAGTACCGTTTGAGAGCTGTAGCACGTGAAAAACAAAGCTTGCTCTGAAGCGAGAGCGGAGTGGATCTTGTTTGGCTGAGCTTCAATCCATATGTGTCGCCCGTCATCAGCACCTCATCAATCATGACGCCAGATTATTTATCTTCTTCGGATCATGCGACCAAGAAACGAAGTCTTTGCACCCCCCAAAAGAATTTATAAGCTTTACACGCGGCTTGCTGGCTTTGGACAAGAGCGCGGTGCTGTCGAGCAGTTCTGTTCAGGCCTAGCCCCTCAAAAGGTTGCGAGCACACAGCAATCTTTTTGAATGATCCCTTGGCTGCAAGTGGATAAGCCCTTTAACTCGACAATCCCCGCCTCGCAAATGTGCTTGCCGAGCCAGCCGGTATTGCGACGGGTGACCGAACGGAATCCTGGGCATTTATGAGGCAACGTCAACAAATGTATCTCATGCACTTAAGGCCTGTATCCCTGCATACAAGTCCATGACCTAGTTTTCATCTTGTCTCGCCGATTCGCCTTAGGGTTAGTTAGAGCAAGATTGGACTTTGGTGTAAAGACTTTCATGGCCAACGCGGGACAAGCTTGCGAAAAGGTGAGACATGTCTTGGGAGTCAGTTCGTCCATCTGCGTCATCTGTGCCTTCTCGTGTATCTTGCGACCCAACAGCTTCGCGCTTCAATCGTCTGGCCTGCCTTGATTTTGCCACTAAGCAACACAAGATCCTTTCGGGCTGACTCAACACATTCCGACGACTTATGTACCTTAGCCTTCTCCTGACACTTCAAACAAGGCCACAAGGCTGCTCGTCACAAATAATTGAACCTCCTGGATGTTCTTCCACTCCTCCCCCAACAACTTTGGATCATTTTGGGCCAGAAAGCAAAACCTCAATTCAGCACTAGCCAACAAGGGACCGAATGCAAGTCGAGGCACCATATCTCACCAAGCTCACGACTGGAGCCGCCAATTGAAGAAGCAACTGTAATTCCTGGACTTAAGAGACCAGAGAAGTCTGAGTTCACATTGCGTCCTTTGCTAATATACGAATATCTTGTTAATTCAGAGCTTCGCCAACTAGACCAAGGAAACCGTCCTGACTTTGACTTTGCTGCCGGGTTTGCTTTTTCTGTTAACTTGTCCAAGGAACAACTCATGGAGATCCTGAGCGTGCAGAAACTTTGGAGGCTTCTCTCTGACCACTATCGCATTGGACCTGACGGAAGCAGAGGTTGAATTTGAGTTGCGCGCCCTGACTCCTCCTTGGCCAGCCACTTTCGGGCCTCTCCCGCACAGAGCAACATGGGACTGGGGCCAGCTTTTAAAAGTTGGGGGGCCAAGAAAGGCCAACCTTATGGAAAAAAGTTGCCCATGCCCAAACCATAACAAAGTTCGCGTTCCAAGTGTATGCGGCTACCAGAGCATCCATGCTGGCTGTTCGGATGCCTAATAATATATTTCGGAAGGTCCCATCAAGCAGGCGAATAAATACTTAAACTGAAGCTCTTGAATCCATAGTTCTTCAATTCATGATAATGAAATTTACCCTAGATCATGTAACAATGCGCAATACAATTACGCCCCGCTGCCACAAACTGCTCCTGATGCTTGAAACATTCTGCCGTTCTGCCAGAGAAAACTCAAAATTGCCGGTCCTCGCAGTAACTGCTTAGTGCCAAACACATATTTTTCACACATTGCAAGAATCCACAACACAACACAAATCACTCAACAAATGTCGATTTTGCGAGTACCGAACGAAAACGGAGATGTCAAACATATACGGTCCATGTATGGCCACGTGTCCTGGTAGTCGTCGTAATCGGGACAGCAACAAGACAAACAAAGCACTAGTCCTGCTGCTGGGGCTTCTAGGCTGGTGCGTCGCGGTAATTGTTATGGCTACGGCTACATGTGCGGCCAATGCTACTGCCGCTCCTCCTCGTCCTCCTCATGATCCTCCTCCTCCATCATCCCTCGCGAAGTGCTTTTGTTGCATTTGCTGGGAACCTGATGCACTAGAATTTGTTCTTCACGATTCCAACTGCCTCCGTGAGAAGTTTTGCATTGACTGCCCCCCATACTACTGTAGTTAACTAGTTGTTCTGAAACAACCTTTACACATTACACGAATCAACATACACCAGGCACTGAAAAACCCGAAGTGAATCACACGGTGCTGAAGTCGAGCATCCTTTGATCATTCCGCTCAACCTGGCCCATTGGGTCGGCCGGATGAACCTGAACCAAAAATATATGACGAGCGGACTCTGAACCTAGACTCGACCTCAATCAAGAAAATCAAAGCCTGCGCCCCCAAAGCCAGAAAACTTCTTTGCAAAAATGATCCAGGAGCATACGGAGCGGAGGCCTCTGCTCGTTGCGTTGGCTTGTCCGGCTCCGGCTGTAGTTGAAATGCATGGAGGTAACCCTCGGATTGGCCGCTCTGTCTACCTGTTCTGCACAAACATTCCAAACCTTTTTTGCCCACTGCCCACCTCTGCAATAACCATCCACCTCCAAAACATGCAAGAAACGAACTCTGAACCTTCTTTGAGTTTTGCGCCTTCATGCTGATCTCTGAACACGTCTGAAGCGCCTGCAGGCATGAGCTTTCAAATTCTTCTGGATCACCACCCACAAGCTTCTCTGGGATTTAACCTGCTGCGGGCCCGCCAGCTCAACAAAAACCCTGCGTTCTGACAAGACTTCCCCATCTTCAGACATTGCCACATGTTCCTGGCAATGTCCATGCGTGCAAGTCTGGAAATCCGAAACTTGTGAGAAAAAAGCAACCCCCCGTTCTTTAACATAGCAGCTTGAAGAATAGGTTCAAAGCCAACCACGGCAGAACAGAGCTAGCTACAAGAGTTTTGTCTTCAAGTCTCACCAGTGCCATGTTCTTCTCGCCTGAACTTCCTTTCTTGTTTTTGTCGGTGTGTGTGCTGAACAGGTCATGCCCTATTCTGAGCCCACATTCACACATCATGACAAGGATTCATTAGGGTCGACTCTAAGCCCTGCCGATCTGACAACAGCAACGGAATTCGCAGGCTTCTGCAGCCAAACATTGTAATCTAGGTTTTTATCTGGCCGACAACGTGCCACTGCTTCACCTTCAGGTTCTTCGTCTCGCGTGCGAGTTGAAAGCAGAAACACAGAGCCGGGCCTGGTGCACTCGTCAGAGGGAAGTCGTTTTTGAGGGTCGTTGTGTGGGCAGGGCGTTGATACGTTGATAGCGTACAATTTACCCAGCCTTTACACTCCCAACCTTATCGTCATATCTACACTTTCTGCACCTGATGCTTCGCGCCTCGTTCGTTTCTCACATGCCTGCCAGTGATTCGTACACCTCGCCGGAGCTGGTTCAGAATTGTTGCCTATTCTGCTGCGAACAAAAATCTTGCCTTCTTGCAAGTACAGCGACCCACTTTAGTCACATCAGTCAGGCCGGAATGCGCGAACCCCCACGGGATGCACCGATGCAAGTGGGTCACATTTGGGTCAGGGGTCCCACGCGGTGTCTCCCAAGTGCCAGCGCAAGGCCAGAGCAGCCAAGTTTTGGCAGCGTCAATGCATCCACAAGCCAGAAGCAAGGGCTCCAAGCCCAGAATGCCAACGCCAAGCACACGCAGCCCCAATCCATCCACAAACCATCAAGAATAGCGCAACGCCTAGAACCATTGCGCAACTGACTGGCTTGCCCCAACATTAGCAACACCCATGCAAGCAGTGCAGCACGTATGGGAATCCCCAACACACATATGCAGCGCGAAGCCGCAAGTGCAAGACGCAGCGAGTCGCCGAGTTTTGCGCTTTGGCGCCCAAAACCGAACGTTGAAAAAGACGGGTGGAGGATCAAAAAAAAACAAATAAGGATCAAAAAAACAAAATCTGAGGATCAAGAAAAAACAAATAAGGATCACAAAAAAACAAAATCGTGGATTTCATAGTACAACTGGTAGAATGGAGACAAGTCCGGGGATCAAAAAAAA